TTGTATACAAATGTCAAAAGTTCAATAAGGTATTTTGTATTTTATAAAAACACCATAACGCGGTGTCCTTGAAAAGATATTTTTTTCTCTATTTGCTAAATAGGTATAAAAAACGCGTCTTAAAATGCTAACTTGCGTGACCATGTTGTTTATAAAGCATGTCGGTATCGCTTTTTGCATGGTGTAAGAAACGACTATTGGGGCCAGTGAGGTATTTGTGTGAGGAAGTCGGGAAAGCAATTGAGAGCCCTCAGTCGTCTTAGTTGTTTTTTTAAAAAATAATAATTTTTATTTGAATTTGTTGACAATATGTCTGAAAGTAAAAATTATAAGTATCGTAAGTCTTTATAGCTAAAAAAAGTTGACACAAATTTACAATGTACTCTGTAGATGTTGTCTGTTCCATATCGAAGCTAAAATGTTTTAAAGCAAAATCTGTAGACGTTAAAAATCAATAAAAATCGCCATAAGGCATTACAATTTTTGATGATCTGGTTAGTTAATTAATTGTTTTGTTTCTGTTTATAGTTAAAGTTCAATTAAAAAAAAAAAACAGGTTATTAACCGATTTTAATGGAAAAAAGCGACTGTGTTTGAGGAGCCCCTCTGATGAGTGATGTTAGTCTAATCCGGACCACGCAGAAATCTATTTTTGTTTTTGTACAGTAGGTGTTATAATTATGATTTCACGTGAGAATAAAATAATATTGTTTCAGCCCGTTTAACGTCCCACTAAAAAAATTCAACTACATTGTTTAATGATACTAATGTTATTACTTATTATTATTTATCCTATTTTTTTTTATGACCTTTATTTTTTTTTTTGGACTGTACAACGAGGGCGTGGGTCGCCGTTGCCACGGCTGTGTAGTACTTATGTGTAGTGTACCTATAGGCAATACTATTATTATTATAGCATATACCTATGGCCTATGTGATGACTAACCGGCCGGAACATTGCTTCCCCTTTCAGTACTTGTGTGCACCGTGACAGAATAGTATTATTATTATTATTATTAAAAACAAGTACGACCCGAAATCATCCGAGTGCTTGTTTCCATAGCATAAACAATGGCGACCTGGGTAATACACTATTATGGCGTTTATAATGTACACCGTACACACAGTCAATGCAAATTCATTATCATTATTGTGCGCTCGCTTAATCGGCCGACCACAGTAATAATAATAATTACTTAAAACAATCCCCGGCGGCTTAGAATTAATAATTACTCTTGTGAAATACGCAAAAATTGTTCACGCGCAATTATTATGAATAACACTCGACGATAATAATGTAAGAAGAGTGTGTCAAGAGTGTGGTTTTTTTTGTTGGACGTTTAATGCTGTGTGCACTAGCGAAAGAGAAACCAGTAAAGAACGAATTTAGAGGTTATTTATCGAATACTGTGATGTCAAAATGATGTCTCTTTTGTGGTTTCTGTTTTTGTTGAAAAGAAAGAGAATTCTCAAGAGATATACAATTATTGCTCGACTCAATTTAGCTATCGTTTAACTAAACGTATTTAATTGAGTCAACTAAATACTAATTATAGTAAATGGCTAAATGATTTATTTAGTTACTTTTTAGCCATTAGTCATTTGTCATAAGTCGAATAATTTATTCGTTAATCATAAATTGATAAAGAGAATTGACTAGCAAGTAAAGTAGGCAGGCGACAGACAAACCTATTCGTTTTCCATTTCATCCTTTAGACGTCAACATTTCAATGTCATGTAAAGTAATCAAAAACTATAGAACATTGATTTCTATTATATTTACTTAAGTATATAAATATAAACTATTGGGTTAAGAATTATTAAATACTATGTATAATAAAGAATTTACTAATATTGCTTACAAATGTATGTGGCGTTGTGAAGCTCATCGTAGTTCACGATACACATACTTATGTTGATTTCCTTCCTAGAAAATTTACATGCTTGAAATGATGATTTGGCGTATAACTTGTTCTACAAATTTCCACAGGCCGCGGTAGTTTGTTGTGGAAAATCTAATTTTTCGGATACAAGTAGTATTTGGTTTGAAAAAAAATGTTTGTCGACGACGAACAAAAAATAATATTTTTCAATAACAAAGAATGGGTCATAAAAACAGCGCTTGCGATTACTGGTCGATAGTGTTTCTAATTATTTTCTCGAATAATATTCTAATATTTTCTTCAACGCATGATTGTTGGTAATAAAAAAAAAAAACAATATGGAAATTAATAATATCGAGCGTTCCGAGTAGGTAGTAAAAACGTGACTAATGTACCTAATCATTTCCAAACCCTATTTATGTAAACAATTAACAATTCAATATTATTACCTACCCACGTTAGTTGTGCCTGTAGTGTGTAAATGGTGACCCACGATTTTCAGCCAATGTAGATACCGTTTAATGTGTATTTCTTCGTATCGAATACCGTTGAAGTATTTTCATTAGCGACAAAATAACGTAACATACAGTGGATGGCTATACTTAGACCATCCATTAACCACCGTGTGCCTGCTCATAAAATGCACAATGTACACAATGCTTATTAGATTCGATTACAATTCTATCATCTTGCTTAATATGTTTTTTATTGGATAATTCAATTACGGACATTGTGTTAAAAGGGCCGAGACACACCAAAGCATACCGTAAGAGGCTTATGCAGTTCACTACACGGGATCTTATAAATATTACGGTGTTCATTGTTCATCGGTGGATATTTTGTGAGTCAATTGGGTTCTATTCTCAGCTTAGCATCGGAACAACCGAATTCCTACAAAACCCTCGAACATTGTTTATGTACGAATTGTAACTGTCGTGTTGTGACAATTGGGTCAATTTACATCTGCTGTATGTTTGGATGCGTGGATATTGCTACAAGGCGTTCGGTGTGTTTTTTTAACTACTGGTGTAGCTGATGACACCCGGACGAGTGACGATGCTGACGAAGTAATACACATGTGTATATTTCCTTTTGATAAATTTGATATTTTATTTCTGTATGGATTATAGACGAAGAATTATACATTGAATTCATCGTGAATATAGAAATCGACTGATGTTGAACGTGTACAAGATTTTTCACAATTATTATCGGTCGGATTTGCAAAATGTAATTATACAGTATCTCAAAAATATAATTGTCCGTATACTAAAAAAAAAACAACAAAACTATGTTGAAGTGTGAAATGGTTGTTCATTATGTTAGTCGTCTGTGGTGTTGTTCGCGGAAAATATAGGTAAACAAATCGACTGATATTATTTAAAATTCTGAGTATTGTAATAGATTTTCATTATGTGCCGGTCGTCTTACAGTTGACGTATTAATGTTGTTTTTAGTATGAAACGACGGCGCATTCGTGGAAACCGAACAACAATAATATATCATTTCGTGTAATTAAATAGCCATTATACGCCATAATAATTTGTATAAAAGGACAGGAGTTCTATCGACTTTGGTTTACCAAATTGGTATTTTTAGGCTCACAATCATGTGTTTTCGAATTGGTGTAAATCCGCTATGTTGTTTATCTTGGAGACAAAACGTGTTGTTTATGCACAGAAAAATGGGAAATAATTTTCACACAGGAAATCGTTCTTCCGTCGTCGCCACGTTGAAAGTTAAAAGCCAGGTTAGAACCAAAGATTTTCTCTTTCTTACAGTTTCATCGACAGAGTAAACCGTTTTAATTATAACAATCGAAACGGCATGTCAAACATTCACGCGTATAAGCCCTTAAAGGTCAAAAGTTTAAAAGTTTTGCAAAATATAGAAAATACTATATTAGCTACCTACTCGATCGTTTTTAATTCATCGATTATTTTACTAAAGAGAATTATCATTTCCCTCCGGAAAATCCTAATCGATCTCCGAAACAAAATAATCATCAATAAGATAATCTTATCGACTACGAAATGCAAACGCTAATAATCGAAGTGAAATTCGTAGAGAACGGCTTAAATTTCAGTAGAGGTAGTAAAACTAAAGTGGTGCGCGATTTTCAAATGAACAAAAACACATTTTTTTCGATTCTTTTGTTCGTGTCACATATTTTTGAACTCTTTACATTTTGCATATTTGTTTTAGCAATACTGCACATTTTTTTTACTCCGAACACCTGCCCAGATAGTACCCATTCGGCGTTTTGAATGAAAATCTCAGAAACGTGTGCGGGTAATGAATGACGATTTCGGCGAATTGAACTCAACGTAGGTATTGTTATATTGTATTTATGTAACTGTTCGCTATAAATTATAATATATCATACATTATGAATGAAAACGGCCTGGTATCAGATTATGAGACTGGGCAGGGTAAATACACACACACGTACACGAGTCTATTCGGCTAATTTATTCTCTAAATCGATTATGTGTAGAATAAAACCGTTAGACGGGTTTGGTCGGGTGATTAATTTCACAACGGCAACGTTCGTGCTCTTGGATGTTACAACATTTAACTACCAATTACCATTTGATTGTCATTGCCGACGTAATTGAATAAAAATAGAAACGATTGCGCAAATTACGGAAGATTTTATTTCCCATTTTTTGTATTTCTCAACGGACGAGGGACGCCTTGTCTCTTACAATTTTTATGCTCGTGCATAAGAATCCTCTTAGGTGACACTCGAATAAGACCGGCGTTATGGAAGATCTGTTTTTTTTTTTTTCCAATTACATTTACGTCGACTTACTTTAAACATCCCCTTTCCCCCCACTTTTGCCGTCCCAACGGTCGCCGAGAACACCCCACCTCCTCCATGATTAGGGGTGGTTTTATCAGCCCACGCACCGTGTGTGACCGTGGGTGATTACAGATGGATTTTGGGGGCGGCAGGCGGTCGTCAGGGACGCCGCGCTGGCGGCGCCGTTACGGTAATACAAGCGTCGGTGGCGGGGAAATATTGATCCAGCCGGTGTGGCCCGCCTGCCTGGTCTGTAGTTGAGCCGGCCGCCGTAAGTGCACTCGGTGCCGCCGGTCCCCGCGGTTTTTTCCCTCGTCAGTTTAACCGTTGCCGGCATACGAGTCGACCGTTATTACATCACGGTTATAGTTAGTACGCGCGCGCGTGTGTGTGTGTGTGTGTGTACCTATAGGCAGAAAAAAATAATTATAATAGGTAATACAAATACTAGTGTTCCGACAGTCGCGCGATGTTATCCCGGGAATAACGTGTTGTGTCGTTTTAAACCGGAATACACGACGATATTGTCGAACGCGTTGTTGCCCTGTCTTTCTTTTTAATTTAAAAATTGTTTTTTTTTTTTTACGGTTTTTATCACGTTTACCGATTGATTTGGGAAATTTCGCGACCGTCCCGCCCAGAAATGAAAAAAGCGTTTAAGTCTTCGGCGTTGGCGGCGCTCGTGCTGTTCTGCGTGACGGCCGACGCTTACCTGAGCTTCAGCGGTAACGACAAGACCGTAATCGACACGCTCATGACCACCAGCGATTTGGAACAGGTAAACCAAAGTCGAAAATAGATTTGGCAAAAACCCGGGTTTTACATAAAAAATCCATAGTTATTGGTAAATTGCTTAAATAAAAAAAAAAAAAAACGCTGGGTGACCGACTAGTTTAAAACGATGTAATATCATATATAACGTTTCATTCATTCACCATTAACAAACGTTCGGGTCGAAAGTTGGGATTTAGGTAGAGTAAAGGTTTTTTTAATTACATTTTTTAAAACTCATCAACTTAATATGTAGTATGAAAAACCTCCTAGCGTCTGAAATCTGCTAACACGCTACTGTCTGGTGTACCTACACTGAAGCATTGAACTGTACCATAGGAAGGCGTATGAAAAAGTGTAGGGTTTGTGGGCTCGGCGATGTTGATTCTATTTTGCAAATACGCTTCATTTTTCACAATGTTAAATTTCGTTTTACATAAAAAGTTGCTTTTTTACATTTCTTTGGCGGTTAATCACATGTTGCATTCTAATCACAACATTTTTTAATTCTTTGTCACCTTCCATTTGTACAGTTCAGTGACTAGCGGAGATGATCCTGAGATATTAGGATTAACAATTGTATACGAGGCTTAATTATAAAAGTGTTAAACGGAAATATCGTGTAGGATTTTGTACCGCTGTGTTGTGGTCATTCGACAGATTATAGATAGCCAAAGTCCAAAAGTCGACTGTCGAGTACTATAATCGGTGACCGGATGGTGTTTTTAAACGTTTTCTGTTTTTTTTTCTCTTCAAAATCCACGTGATATCGGTCGATTTGCTCAAAACGTTATTCCATTACCGATTTTCGAATTTCGACAACGATAATTTGTGGTGTGTTTCGTCTAATTGATTTTCGAGAATATCGAATAACGATTTTCAACAGAGTTGGCCGAGAGCAGTGTTGTGGCTTACAAATCTGTAGTAAATGTAGTGTAACGAACAAAATGTAATAATAACAATGTGTATACAGAATCGGGCCAGTGCTCAGGTAAACCGCGCGCGCACAAGAAAGGCGTAGGTACATTCTACCCGAGTAACCTGCAGCACGCCTCGTTCTTTGTACCTAACCTAATTTTGTTTTATCTTCTTTTATACTTCAGCCGGGCGACCTTCGTCGTGGTAACGGCTGTGTTATTATTATTGCTCTAGTAATATTTACGTGTACCACTATTGAAATACACTGAAGACGGGGGGGGGGGTGGGGAGGTTGTCGAGAGTGGATATAACCGGAAATCACGATCGAACATATTATTATTCAGATGTAAACTATGTTTGTGTGCGTGTATTTGTAGTAATATTTTGTTTTTAGATACGCTCGGTCCGGTAGAAATGGCGAAAGTGGCGACAACCGGTACTCGCCCGTTACCATAACGTATACCATGTCCTCTCGATGGACCACGACCGGTGAATAATAATGAATATAATATAAAATAATATATGTATATATATATATATATATATTTATTTTGTTCCGTCGTATACTAGACAGACGGCGGCTGTTTGGGTCTCTTCTTTCGGGCCAGGTGTTTTCGGGTGAATAATATGTATATATATATATATATATAGCGTATAGGTAGTATTCTCTTTTTACACAAGAGCATACGAGCACCGCCGTGAAAAGAAAAACGGTGCACAAAAGACCTTCGCTAAATCGCCGTCGCCGCCCCTTCTTTGGGTAGAGGGAGTTGGGAGAGAGAGTGGTGGTAATGGTGGTAGTAGTAAGTAGAGATATTTTTACGCTCAAAAAAAAAAAGAAAAAAGAAAAAAAAGGTATTGTTACCTGAGAACGTTTTCTAGACGAGATCAGAACGTTATTCTTACTCGGACGACCGGCCGTCGACCGTCTTGTAAGTGATTTTAACGAGACGCGAGGTTATTACACTAATACAGCTGTGTAACAATCCCCACGGGTAGTATTTATTATATATATATATTATCGTTATTATTATTATTATATACCTATATTTTATGTACATTGAACGTGAAAAAAACTATAAGCGTATGAGTCATCGGGCTCCTGTCGTCCGCGTCGCGTGCCCCGCCCAACCCCTACTAAAAAAAAAAAAAACAACATACTATGAATATACATCAAGCCTAATGAATCGCGACCACAGGGTCAACGATAATTAACTTGGGTTTTTAAATAATATTTACATAGATATGTTATCTCTTAATTGTTATATTGATATATTCATTAGTATAATATACGTATGAGCGTATAACTCGCTAGCAGAACAGGAGTTTGACTTCCTCTAGTTCTGTTGTATATCTTCTTTGGAAATCACCGTTGGATAATAAAGCAATTTATGTGTGTGTTAATGTATGTGTTCCGTCCCTACACACAGATGGGTTGTTGTACGATGATTTCCACACAGCTGTGTCCTTGGTTCCGGTCAAGTTCGAAATTTATCGGTGAGTAATAATAAATTATATATTTTGTCGTCATCTATCCGAACGCAACCGCAACATCCTGCGGCGTTGGCTGCAACAAAAAAAATATACTTTCTGGTATCTCAGTAACTGTGATTAGTATGTTGCATCACGTCAGAACGGCCTCAACAAAATGTAATAACGATAATGATTATTATAATAAGATCCGGCGTACATTTGCAAACCTCTCTTGCCCCCTCTCAATATATATATATAATATATTATGTACCATGTATGTATGTTTGTGTGTGCGCGTGTATGAGTATACCTACTTGGGGTTCGCGTAGCTACCAATTCGACCACCTCTTCCTACTCCTCTGTCTCGGTTCATTGTTATTATTACCGGCGGGCAGGTGTTGCCAGGTGATGACCACCTGGCAACATTACGGCTACACGTTCCGCGTGCGATTCGGCTGTGGGCTAGGATATAATATTATAACTTCCATGTGCTGCGACGACATTGACCTTGAAAACGTGAAATAATATCTATAATAATGGGTTTATACACGTATATCAGGTGCATCAGTGTTCGGCGATAGCCTCTTTAGCAGAACGAGTATCTCAAACTAACGATGTACAATATCGTGGCGAATTGTTTGTTTTATTATAATTGTAAGTAGTAGATTTGTAAATTCACTTTGCAGTCATGTCAATAACTATTAATGACTGATAACTATTCAACTCAAATACAAATTCCCCCAAAAAATCGATGTAAAAAATCAGTCTAAATCTTGCTCGTTTCTCCATGCAGGTCTAAAAACAAATACTAAATTTGTGTTTTTTTTTTTTAAGTATCGCTTAAAAACAATTTTCGTTTTTTTCTGTTGTTTAATTATTTTTTAAGGATTTAATTTATTGCTCTTTAGATTATAATGTCCGTTTCCTGGTGCTTCGGATGTTGTGTTTATTTGTAATGGGAGGGACGCGCCAGATTTCCCGGAGGAGAAAACTTCTTGTTGTGGGGTGTAGGATATTTTGGCGGGCATAACTACTGGTAACATTAACGATTTTCTCTCTTGGAAGTGAAAGGGTTTTTTGTGTATACAGTTCAACCACGGCGGAGCACAAGAGGTGTTGTGTATGATATTAAAAAGACCGTCCTCCACCGCCGACGTGATTCAGCAGGTTCATTCTGTCCTAGAGAGTTCTTATTTATAACTTGCAATCCTTTCTCCGGAGACACAAACTAAGTAGACGTTTTATAGTGATAGGCCATTTTTTTATTTTTTTACTATTACCATCATCATCATCATCATCCACAACGGTCTCGTGACATTTGAAACAATTCCCGAGACCGAGACAACAGAGGCCTATATTATGTATGTCATTCACGTTCGTGAGTCGCCCACGGGCAAACTTAAACGGCCGTTGCATAAGTATTCATGGTCTTGTATTTTAGCGTCTGACTTGGTTTTGTCAATTGCGTAACTCGACCTTTGGGGTCGTATAAGTGCGCAACCGATGTCGATCGATATTATTATCAAAACGGTTTTCTCCGTGAGATACATCCAAGTCGTGTACCGATCGAGAAGCTCGTGACTGGCGTAAAACTGAACTGTCTATGCCTCGTCTTTTGGAATGGCGGTTGTTTTGTATTTTTTTTTTTGGTAGAGTTCTTTTTGTAGTCTCTTTCCGAGTTGTGAAGTCGATCGGGACGTAATTTGTCACATCCTCTTCACCAGCACACAGCATAGCGTCCAGCCGAGTGCATATCCGGTGACCGTTGTGTTGCCCATTATTATAATATTACACCCGAACACAACCGACAATATATTATATTATTATATATTATCTTCATAATACAACAATGATGAAAGTATGGCAGCTTGTTGTTCGAACAAATGTGAAATGACCCATGGGCATAACTAGGGAAGGGAGGCTTGAGGAGACTTAGCTCCCCCAACCTAATTATTAGCCCCCTCGACAGTAGTCTAAAACGATAATACGTCCATACGGATGAGATTACGTATTTTGTTGATAATAATATTTTGTCAAAGTAATTATATACTTGCTGAGTAGGTATATCTTAAAATTATTGTCGCAGTGCCCATAACGCTGGTGGAAATGTTAAAATTTCGATTTTGTGTTTTTTTTTAGTACTACAATAAGCAACTCAATTAATGGAATAACATTAAAAATTATTTTTTAATAAATAAAAAAATATTGTCGAAATTAAAAAAAAAAAAGAGTTTTTAGCGCTATCTGATGAATAAAAGTTACAGGAATTTGTTAACAAGAATACAAAACTCAAAATAGCTTAAAATATTATCTAATACGCTCTGTTTAGGTGTACGTTTTTATATTCTTTATACGTTGGGGCCCCTGTCATTTTCAGATTCCAGATTCTAGCCACTGAAATTCGTCTCAGCTGTTCGTTTGTTTTTCCACCGGCTGGAACTGGCAACAGTCAGGGCGAGACGTGGTAAGCCGCCTAAAACCGGGGGAGGGGTGGAGTGAATTGCATTTATTATATTGTAAAAATATTGATCACTCGACTTGGCAGTGCCGCCGAAAACTCCGGGGAAGGCGGCGTCAGTTGGCCGAGGGTGGTAGGGTTCAAGAACCTTCGGTGGA